CTTCTGATTTAATCAACCAACCACTGACATCAGTAATTCTAAGCTAGTTAAAGGCTAAAGTGAAGAGTGAATATGTATTGTGTTCCTTAGCTCTGGGTCTTAAGGTTGCATCCCCAATTTTACAAACAGTTACTCCTATTAACACAAGAGTAGGACAACTAGTTTGCCACTTCACTCTGAAGCTCTGTACAAAATTTAGGGGGCACCACTAATATGGAACGTGTGTATCTTGTAAATGGCTGTATGGATTTATATGAAATTTTGTTTGCATGATATAGGGTTATAGAGTGCTGTAGTAATGAGCCCTAAAACACAGAAATAAGTTGCATTTCACCTTTTCCAGTTCCCTTGTCCCAAAATCTATGGATTTTTTGAAACTGTTTTTGGTTAGATGACTGAAATAAGGTCTGTTAAAACATAAGCTCAAGACATTTTCACATTTTACTCTACAACATAAAATACATCAGTAAACACCTCAGTCTTGATTTCTTGAAGCTTTTACGTCTAATAAAAAAGGCCAGTTGCTAACAAATGGCTAAATGAGACTAGAGGTTGTCGGGGACTAGGGTTGCCACTTTTGATGTAAATGAAAAACTGAGACACTCGTTTTTTCAGTTTTTAATAATAACACTCTTGCTAACACTTGAATTCATGGTTGGGTTGTGGATGTGTACACACACAGCAGTTTCTATGTAATAAGGTAAATATTTATATTTCTGCTACCAATCAAATAAAAGTATAGACATGATTATTGGCCAATTGTAACTGTTGTACCCGATTTCATATGTTTGCAGTCACAGGATTGGGCATAACCAGGGAGAAAACAGAAAAGCAGTAGACGGAAACAAATGAGGTTTTATTTAAAACTATGACACTAAATTAGACATGCATCTTCACAAAAACCGGGACAATTCATGTCCCAGGAAAGAATATACATTTTCCAGGACAGTTGCTCAAAAAAGAAAACAAAGAAAACAATCAATTTGTATTTGTATTTGTAGTTAGGCTTCAACAATCATTATTCATTAGTGAAGATTATCCTGCTGAACAAACCTCTCAGTATCATAAACTGCTGTTTGTCACAGAGTTTATTTTCTGTAATAATCCAAAAGCCCATGTTAAAATCCCATTGACTTTTTGTGGAGGGAACCAGGATGATGCTAACATTCAGGCTGGCCTGCAAAAATACATCATCCCTGCAGCACTCTATTTCTCTATTTCTCAGTTCATGCCTATGTTTATCAAACATTCCAGACCAGGCACGCCAATCAAACAGGCACGCCCTAAAAAATATCAGTCTTTAAGGCCTAAATCTAATTCATTTGAGAATTATTTTTAGATGGACCACCAGAACACTGAACATGAGGTGTGAATTTACCCAATGACACTGTTATAAGTTGTGGAAAAAATTGATTGATTTCGTATTTCATTAGAAAAGTTGATGCTTTTTGAATGGGTGTCTATTGGAGCCGGAGTTTTTTGGAGCCAGCCCTTAGCCACTTTCAGTCGTATTGCACTTTAAGACACTTCCACATTGACTTCACTTTTCAGACCTGGAGTCTACATCCATCTTTATATACAGTCTATGGTCTATGCATAATATTTAGAAACGATTGATGGAAGTAGGCTTGGCGTGATACAAAAAAAACAAAATTTCCACACATTTCACCTTCCAAACTTCATAAATTCTAAAAATCACCTACACATCCTACAGAGCTGACATTTTAGTAACTCCCACATTGTACATCACACATTCAACAACCTTACATGCTCACATTCCCTGACTTTAGCTGAATCTTTCTGAATTCTGAATTTCTGCCAAAGATTTTTGTTTCGAAAAACCTCCTTTTTGAACTCCTCCTAGCCTGTGATTCTGATCCACACAAATCATTGCACATATACTCTATGGACTCTCATGATCAAATGTTATTGAATTGATTTTTATAATTCAAAAAAATATGTAAGTTATAGAAGAACTTCCTATAGGTTGTAGGCCAAACAGGAAGTGTCGCATGTCTTGGCAACAATCACTCCCATTGACACAGGACTTGGTCTTGTAGTTTCTTCTGCCCCACTCAGGCTCTGTGCAACATTATACAACAACTGGCCTTTAGGTGCCACATTTATTCCTTGCTGATATTACTTTTTCAAACAATGTTTTTGTTTCATCTATGTCCTCACATGATCACACGTTATTAAAATAGATACTTCAGAAAATGTAAAAATTATAACGGAAAAACTTGTGCTCATACAAAAGCAGTGATGTTGTATCTTCACATAGGTGTGTCTGATTAACACGAATCATAGGCCAGTAGTTTGCTGTAGTTTCTGTACAAAATATGGTGCGTATTGGCTTGAAGGTGGCTCTTTCACACAAAGTTTGACTCCTCAGAGATTGTCCATCCTTGGTGGAATGTTTTTAAACCTCTCTCCTGCTCTTAACCCGAGACATCGTGCTCATGCTCATTGACCTCCAGGTCCGACTTCCATCACCTCGAGGCCACCATGTATGTTTGACTCCAGGGGCTTGGACCCTGTTGACACGTGCCTGCTGGTCTAGTTTGTTTATTTAACTATGTGTTTCTGTCACACTTACAGACTGTATATAGTACATGTAAAGTCACATACATGGAGGATGCCATTGTCAGTCCACTGATGAACAAACACACTGCAGTCAGCAGTGGCCATTTTCCATGAATTCATATGAAAAGCAATTAAAACTAATGTGGTGAGAAATTTGTTCTGAAAAGAGAACAATCAACAACAAGGGATAGCTTTACTTACTATGTCCTCCTCCTCCACCCAAATTATTTTATTTAAAATGTGAAGTGATTTATTATACACTTAGCTTTCTCAGTCAAGTAGCCAAAGAAAAACCAATGTCCTTGGGTGAAGAGTCAGTCAAACATCAACTGCTGTAGTGAAGATACCAGTCACAACAGTCTGGGGGCAGGATGTGACAGTGCTTGATAAAATAAATTCTACTGGGAAGGTTGTATATTTTTCAAAACAAAGATGAGGCAAAACGTTTTTTGTTTTGTTTCACTTCATCTTAACCTGTTCATGCTCTATGTCTGCATTTTGTCTCAGATGTATCAGCCATATAGTTAAAAGGGAAAGTTCCTGAGAAAATGGCAGTGGTGTTCCAAAAAAAATCATCATCTTTAACTGTAAATAAATCAGGTGTCGAACCACCAAATGTTACTGAAATCTGCTCATAGGTTTGCAGATAGAGTGCTAACTATTAAAGACCCCTCACATTTGTTTACTTGTTTGCAGGGTATCTCTAAAATATGCAATAGAAATTGGGTGGTAGGTAAATGCAATCAGCCCATGAAGAACTGATTCGTTTTTGAAGAGATTCCAAATCCAACAGTGCCACCTTGTGGCTTTTTGTAAAACACCTAAACCATGAAGTGCAAATAAAACTTCAAAACATATATATATTGTTATATCTCCTTGTTCAGGACGGACAATCTGTTGAGGCTACATCCTACACAGTTGTTGCATTAGTTTAGCATTAGCATACATTGTATGACTATTTCCATTTAGGTGAGCTGGTTCCAAGGTTTATATTGTACATGATACATTATTTTAAACAGAGTCAAAAACATGCCCTTTGATGACCCACTAGTTGAAGCTGGTGGACTGCCACAACATCTCAGGAGAATGAAGCATTCATTAACGTATTGGATAAGAATTTAGGGAGCGAGGAATTGGAATTTAGCGTCAACTGTTCTGCAGAAGTGATGGGAGTACACTGCGTTCTCTGGTAAAGGTTTTGGATGTGACGTAAACAAGAATGTTAAACAATACAAACTATATACAATATAATAACAGTTTTATACCATTAATTGCAGCATATCCTCATTGATTTTTTTTACCAAAAGTAAGTCTTAAGTTAAAAGAGGAAAATGTGGACAGAGAAGAATTTCAATACTGGGTATTTAGTTTAAGAATATATGAAGAACTGCTACTAAAATGACCTTTGACAAAGGAATAGTATATAGGGACAGTTTATCAGTATCCACAGCCGAATTGACATCAATAATCAGTCTTCAGTGGGTAGTGGAAGTTAAAGCACTTCAAGTAGTGATTTGTTAAGATTCAGCTGTGGCACAGTTTAAAATCTGGGGCTGGTTTCACCAAGATATTTCATTTTGAAGCCAAAACCATTAGACACCTTACCCCCGACTAACTCAGGCCTGAGGCAAATGTTACCATGGAGACCACAGCCATTTTTTTTCCCCAAATCCGATTTTTTTTAAATTTTTTATTGTTAAACATTTTCCAAGGAAAGCATCCTTGAAACTGTTGAATTCTTCCTAAAGACAATAATTTTCTGCTAAGGGTAAATGGAGCTGACCGGTTGGTTCTTCGCTAAGTCTTCACTTAGGCCTACACAGAATTCATTGTATCAGAGTCAGACTTAAGATAGTCAAGGAATAAACTGCTTTGTTCAATGGATGGATTTAGATGTCTATCTGAAGTCTGACTATTTGTTATATCTAAGACACAGTGTTTGTGAAACCAGCCCCGGGACAAACTATCTAATTTTTATAGTCTTACTAAACCTTCAACATCTGGAAAAAGATGTTCATTTTGTCGGACACTGGCTCATGGAGGTATCAAAGGTTCAATCTCGCTTGAAGAGCTTAAAGAGAAAAGAAATTACTTTTGGGAGATCACAAAAAAATGATTAGTTCCTCACAGAATTATGGCATATGGGAAGGAAATATGAGAGAACAAGTTTTTCACAAAATGCAGGGCTAATAGACGCTCCGGAACAGTGGGTGGCGACATCCACCTTTTTCACGCTGGTTTGCAGCCCGTTATTAAAATCGAGAAAGAAAAACGAAGCACAATAATAACAACAACTATAACAGTTAAGTAACAACGGAAGAAGAAGAAGAAACAAAAACAGGAGAAGAAAAAGAAGAAGAAGAAGGAAAAAAGAAAAAGAAGCAGAAGCAGAAGCAGAAGCAGAAGCAGAAGCAGGACAAGCGCGAGTGAACGTCATACGCGCGCGCTTCCGCAAAGTAGTGACAAAGATGGCGGCCGCCGCCGGATCAGGTAAGGAGACCTTACCGACAGTTCAGACAGTATCTTTTCTTTGTTATTGCTTAAGAGGTTGATTTCCCATCACGTCGCATTAGCTGTATGATAGTTTTACACTTTAAGAGTCCAGTTGCAGTGCGGGTTTGACTGTTACAGAACTCTGTGTGAACATAAATGCTGCCATTAATGATGCTAGCTAGCTCATTGGCTAGCTAAACTGGCCCACAGTCTTTGAGCAATACTCGACCATCTGTAGCAGCCGTGATGTATCATTGTGTATCTTACCGGCCAGAGAATAAGCTACACTATGTTTAAGTCCACGTCAGAGTTCACATTTGTCTAGTCCGGATTGTTGTGTTCATAAGGCAGTGACACCCGCGACTTGCTTGATTAGTAGAAGTTATTTACTTAGAGAACGTTAGCTGGCAGCACAGCCCTGATCAACAACTGGAGTGCCATGGCATTCCGGCAGAAATGTTCAGAAGTGGCTCGATAATCCACTGAACGCAAAGTACTTTTTACTTAATGCAGTGTTTACAAGCTGGAAACATAGTCGTGCAGCGTATGTAACGTGAAAATGTGTCCTCAACGTTATGATTTTATATTTAAGTAGAAAACTTCCTAAAGCGCTATTAACGTCACGCAGTGTCTCATCGTTGGTTAACCCAAAGATAAAACTACTAATTTCACCTAATGCCAGGTTGGCGTAGTTAAAATGGGTTCTGTCTGAGGATAAGCCTGCTGTCAAAAAGCAAGACTCATTACTGGCCCATTGACGCACTCACATCAGCTCGGTAATGAACTCAATTTGGGAGATTGAAATATTAAACCCGAAGTCAAATGTGGTCAGTTTAAATTAAGGATGTCACAGCATGTGAGTTTGACCATCAAGGTAATGGCTACCCACGGGTCATCACAAAGCGGTCAGCATTCTCCTGCTCTCGATAATGTATTTATCTGAGAGACACGTTAGCATCAGAGATTCAGATGGTTATTTTTACATGTGCTATGAACCAGCAGTTCTGCTCAGCTGTCATAGAAAAGTTTTACTCATTTCGCTGTGCAGTCCACAATGACAGCATGGATGATGGTAGACTTATAAAAACTTGTCTCACTAACGTGAAAATTCCTTTAACCTTGTAATGCGACTAGTTTAATTAATTAATTAACACATTTGTTTGCCAGCAGTTATTTTCATTCTTCAAGAATAAATGCATATTTCAATGTTATGTCCACTACTAAATGATTAATCTGAACACTTGTTAATAATCATGCCAGACTGTGTGATTTTACTGTGGTTAGGAGGTTGATAGATGACACTGTGTTATAGTAGGAAACGCTGATGAATATTGCTCATTTGGAAATATAAAAATAAGTCAGTATTAGGTCAATGCTCTTTTACTAACCCCTCACTTTAGGTTAGCTTGGCTTTTGGTCAGCAACTTGTTCAGGGAAATTATTGAGTGAAATATGAGTTAATTTTCTCTCAGTGTGTGATCAGATAGAAGTAATTTAATTACCCTTTGTGTGTGTGCGTGTGTGAAGGCGTCGTAGTTCCCCGCAGCTTTCGGCTGCTGGAGGAACTGGAGGAAGGTCAGAAGGGAGGTGGAGACGGTACAGTGAGCTGGGGCCTTGCAGATGATGACGACATGACGCTGACTCACTGGAATGGTATGATTATTGGCCCCGCCAAGGTGAGTACCCCCAGGGCCTAAAACACTAAACTGACATGCTGCTGATCCGTTCAGTTGGCCAATAGGCATCCAGCATTGCATTGGATTGACATATTTTGAACTTAGACAGAAGGGACCATCTAACACTATGCAGTTCACAATTGTTCTAAGTTTAAAAATAGAAAACATTTGGTGCTTCCGAAATGCTAACTGATGCAGTGTTGGTTTTGTCTCAGAGATGACTTCTCACTCTATTTAAAACCAGTACATGAAAGACGTGTTACTGTTGCTGAATCAGTGGCTTGTAAGGAAAGAAAATGCCAACATGTTCTGCGTTCGATTTGTCCATGTTGGTGTCCTGCCCCTACAAGAAACAAGGGCAGGGAAACCCTCTTAAAGCTGCAGGTGTCATGCTGAATCTCTATTTGCAAATGATCAAGCAGCAGATAGTGTATATGTTGTGGTAACGCTGCTAAGGTAAAAATGAAACAGATAAATATCAGGTAGGACATTTTGGCAGGGTGTATGCCACATGCAGCTTTCATTTAGGCCTACCACTCACTGATTAGGTAAAAACATCAAGAGGTAGATTTTTGCAGCCACAGTTTAGTAGTTCGATGAGGAGCAGCAAGAGACAGGCACTTTTTGCAGTTTGGTTAAACCTCCCATCAAGGTAAACAACTCCTTTAATGTCTTGTTGTTATTGTTGATATCTCAACTGTGTGCATGCCAGTTAAACAATTATTGGTAATCAAAGCACTCACCTCATAATCCACTTTTTAATGCAAAGCAAATAAAGCTATGAAATTATACATATTGTAGTAAAATACCCACACACTCCACAGTTACTGGTTTGGAGTGGTATGTGTTGCTCTGTTTAGTTGATCTTGTCCATGTAAAAGCTTCTACCTGCAGAAATGTAAAATAGATTTTTGGCTGGACCACAACAGCGGGGGTTAGCCCTATAAATGGGTCTGTTGCTGACTGACTGAGTGATCAAGTCACAGCAATGGTCAGCCAAATGCTACATGACTGAGTAGGGCTGCACGATATGCCAAAAAAAATCATATTGCAATTATTTTGGCAGATATTGTGATTTCAGTTGTAATGGTTGTTTTTGCATTTTCAACTTCACTGAAAAAAAAAAAATGATGATGTAATTTTTGTTTGGTCTTGTACCAAACAAACATGTTCCTTTACATCTGGAGAATATGATTTGTAGTCTGGGGCATCTCTGTAGCACCACAACACTTATGGTGCTAACACTTCACCATGCACCACGGGGCAGAGTTTCCCCAATGGTTGTTGCTCTTTCAAAATGATTTGGTGTGAACAAGCAGTGTTGCCAACTTTGCACCTTTGTTGCCAGATGATGACTTTTCACACCCCTTTGGCAACTTATTTAAAAAAACAAGAAGCACAAAGCAACAAAATCTAGCAATGATTTGGACAAGCTACTGTCTTAGCTACTAAGACAGTCTGCAGTACTGCTCTGTAAATGCAAGGTCAGACTTTGCCTCTGTAGACGCACCTCCCTATGCAGCCGACGTGAATGAGCTTCTAACTTTCTCCCTCAGTGATAATTTTATTTTGTCTTTAACTTATTCATATGGTGATTTTGTCAGACAACGTTGTGGTTATAAAATCAGTATTTTAGCAGCAGAAGAGCAGCAGCTTGGAAGTGACTGCTGGTTAACATGTAGTCTAAATGAGCCACGTTTCACTCACATGTTTCAGTTTCAAACTTGTTCCATTGTCTGATAACAGACAGAAAAACATGTAAACAAGAACAGCTTAATTGTGAAGTCAGCTGCATTAAAATACTGTATATCTGAGCACAGAGGAGGAGAGAAGAGAACAGATAAAGAGCTGAAATCAGCTGATACAAGGCAGAATACAAATGGCTTACAGTGTGGTCCAGCCATATACCAGCTTTTGACCTAGTGTTGTTTTTTTTAAAATATAATATGAGCATACTAATGTCTGTCCCTGATGCAGCCAGGGTAGATTTATACTACTTTCAGTGGGTTAGAAGCTGTGAGGTGGAAGATGCATGCTTTCCTGAGAACCACAATTGTGGGTGGCTGTGCTTCCTTTAGTGACACTTGCATGGCTCAGCCTATCTTCTAGAGAGTTATGATGTTGTAGTACTTTCTTGTGCGGTTTAGAATATAGAGAAATGCATGCATGCACTGTTTTTGTTCAACTATTTGTCACAACTTTGCTCCTTTTACCATAGTGCAATAGGAACAAATTTGACAGCGTGTAAAGTTGGGATGTCACAAGAACTGCTACTTTGGTTCTGAAAATGTGATGGTACTTGTTTTTCTACAGGTAGATGTTGTATGTAGTGGAGATGTGATTGTCCCAGGACTGACATGGGCAGCAGAAAAACTCTACAAGTGTTCTAGTATGTGTTCTATTTTTTTTGCTATGGTGTCGAATTTGATGTAGAGAATGGTGGAATTTCAATGGTACTGACTACTAAATGTCTGGTATGGTTGCCATGGCAGTAAGATAGGGGAGAAGGGGTTAGTTGCCTGCAGCACTTGTGAGTGTTTCTCAGGACTAGCATCTTGTTTTCTGTGCAGCCAGATCCATAGAGTTAAAGTTAAAGTCAGCCTTACTGCTCACATGTGCTGCAGTTGTCTTGTGTTTTTTTTTGTCAAAAACTGACTTAAGAACCTTGTTACAACATCACGTTTGTGGCAAAGGGGTGTGACCAGTGTGACTTCTTGTACACCAATATCAAAACAGAGACACATGGCATTGCCCATATTGAGCATCAGTCTGATGCCAGTGCTCTGTTTTTCCCTAAATTTAAATGTGTAAACCTCTTTGTGTGGAACTGGTAGTGTATGGAGATAGACAGACACCAATATTTTTTTCAGGGGTTTTGATGATGCATCACAAATAATTAACGTCATAATGACAGACACAACAAAATACTGAACTGATCTAATGCATGTTACACCCACAGTTACAGTGGTGAGATCACTGATATTGCCTGTGAGCAGCTGTCATCAGAGCCAAAGCTTCACTCAGTTGCTTTTCATGATGGTGCATCTCTTCACCAAACCACTTAACCTGGGCGTGGTATCTCCCAAACTTAACAGTAGGGTTGTGCCAAAGGACGATGATATCGTTTGTTTCATGTTGCTTATGTCTTACCAATGTCAAGATGATATTTGACTTGTTATCCCATTAATGTAGTAACTTATTATTTGTAGTATTAAATTAATATTAAATTTAATCTGCCCTGCCACAGTTTCATGTATATAATCACATATAAACCATAAAATCTATTTGTCACCACTCAGGTTATCTGTGAAAGAGAGAGAGAGATAAGCAAAATGGGACACATTCACTTTCTTGGTCACTCCTCTTTCAATCTCACTCATAGGGTAATGTAACGACCATCGTATCAGCAATTTCACAGGGTGAGGATTGAAGGATCAGACTATGGTGAAGATCACGCAACCCTACTTCAGTGTACCTCGCTGCACTGTTCTCTTTCACCTGGCTTTTTTTTGTACAGAACTGTACATTTACAAATGTTCTGTGACATTGTCAAGCTCCACAACAAGGAAGTGGACCTTATTGTTCCACGCTCAAGAATAAACTTTGAATCTCGATAAACAAATGTTGTTATTTTGGTAAAGAAGTGATGGACACCACACACTATCAGAATGTCCTTGACTTTCACTCTTGGAGCTAACGCATCACTCACTTCTTTACTTGCAGACTGTGTATGAAGGCAGGATATACAGTCTGAAAATAGAATGTGGATCCAGATACCCAGAGAACCCCCCTCTTGTCCGGTTTGTGAACAAGATCAACTTGAGCGGCGTACACAATTCAAATGGTGTGGTGAGTATCCAAACGGCATCACATGTCACATGTTTGATCAACACTCTAGGATGGATAATTTTAAAGTGATAGTTCGGGTTATTTGCCGTTAATATTAATTCTTTAACTCTTTTCAAAGACTCAAAAGGACTGAGGACGTGCAGAGACAGATGGGAGGTATTAGCAAAACAAACGCACGTGTGAAAGTTGAACAGCCCAACCAGTGTGATTTGCTATCCAATAAATTTGTTTAGAATTTGTCCAGATTTCAACCAGCCCTGCTGTGGCACCTGAAGCAGCATGAGAGGCTCAGGAAGGGATAGCTGTAGCTAATGGAGATAGAGATGTAGGAGAGGAGGAGGCGGAGGACAGCAGCCAACATGATGGTGTGGGAGAGCCAGCTAGGGCAGAAGCAACAGGTGAGATTGACAGCAAACACAGAGATAGAGGTGTATATTTTGTTGTATTATTTATTTGTGACAAAGTAGTAGACAGTTAAAATAAGTGGAGCACCTTATATACGGTATATATAAGTTGCACCCCGCACTACAAATAGAATGTAAGCACTGAGATGGTAATATCTGTGACACATTAATCCACTGACCTAACAAATCAAGGCACTTCATAATATTGAACTACGGTAGCTCTCCTGTAAATCACTCATGCAATAGAGCAGTCCTGATTATTGATTTGCCACATTGTCTACAATGGTCTAAGTACAAGCAAATGGTAAAGAGATGACTGGTTCTGCTGGGAATCTCAATTTAACAACTTACTTAAGATTCAGTATTTATAAGGGTCTTATTTAGGACTTATTTATAAGACTCCTCCTGAGTGGTTGAGAGTGGTGTTGTGATTCATGTTGTCATGCTTCGTGATTGAACTTATCCACTGGATTTGTCCCAATACCCACATCTGAATTATTAGTGTGTTGTCACGGGGCTACATGTGTGTCATATTTCCAGTACTTGCCAACGTGGCCAAGTGACTGTAACACTGTAAGTGGGAGGAGGTTTATCAGAGTTAACTGGGTCACATTTGATTAACAACAACAGCCTGTTAAAACTGAACTCAAATGATCACACGTACATACGCACATGTATATGTATAGCATTAATAGCTGTTTGCTTACCAGTCTTGCCGAGAGCTTTGGCCATTGTTGCATTTAGAAGAAAAGAGGAAAAGCTAAAATGATAGAGACGAAGAATAAGAGGTGTCAGTTCCCCTGTGGCCGTTTCACAAAGATATCTCAGACCGGTCTGTAGTGTTGCTCCAGTCTTCATTCTGCTCATAGATTAGTCTAATGTTAGTCAGACTGTTTCACAAATATAAAGACCCCCAGACTAACTCAGGCCTGAGACCAATGTTACCATAGTAACAATCAATGACACCTGTGCTGACCAGTTGCACCCCGCAATTAAAAACAGGAAAACATTGCTCATAATTTGTGGTTTCCTAATATTGTTATGGAGAGAGCAAAGAGAGAGTTTTTAGGGACCACAGACTTTTTTTGTTTTCCAAATCTGATTTTTCTTTTTATTGTTTCACTCTTCATTCACTGTAACAAAGAAAAAACATTTTCTGCTGAGGGTAAACAGAGCTGAGCAGTTGGATGCAGCTCCATCGTCTGCCATTTTTTTTATTTTGAAAAAAGTCTTTGATTTACCCAGAATTCATTGCACCACAGTCCAGCTTAAGATAATCAAGAACTAAACTGCTTTGTGCAACAGATGAATCTAGACGTCTGTCTGAAGTCTGACTCTTTGTTGTAACTAAGCCGTAGTCTGAGTCTGTCTTTGTGAAACCAGCCCCAGGCTACGTCTAACTTTTCTCAGACTAAGGAGCTAGTCTTAGCCATTTTGTGAATTAGTTTTAGACCAAAAACTTTAGACCCTTAAAGTTACGACTGACGTGCCCTGTATTTTTAGGAGTTTCTCCTAATTGACCAGTTAGGACCTAATTTTATATTTTAAAAATCAGGTTGACAACACTGTTTCAATTTACAAAGCTCTTTGTGCTGTCACTGATTTCGCCTTGTAGTGCATTCTAAATATTTAATTTTAACATCAGGTTGTATAAGATCATTCTCATTGGGGCCATAATAAAAAACACAGTCCCCTTCTTCCCCCTTCTCTCCTTCCTTCAGGTGGACATTAAGGCGGTGACAGCGCTGTCCAGGTGGAAAAACTCCTACAACATCCGGCTGGTGCTGCAGGAGCTCAGACAGCACATGATGATGAAGGAGAACAACAGGCTCTCCCAACCACCTGAGGGCCAGGTGTATAGCAACTGAGGCTCCTGGTGCCATCCCTGCCTGTCACACATGCACACGCACACACACACACACACACACACACACACACACACACACACACACACACACACACACACACACACACACACACACACACACACACACACACCAACACGTTACCCAAGACTCTTGACTCCCACTTCTTCCTCGGGAGCCTCTCATTGGACAGAGAGGGATGCGCAGGAGAACCCGACCTCCGAACACAGAGGCCAGTCATCCAGTAAAGTTCATGGTGCAGACCAACATTATGAAACAAAAATACTGTACATCTTACTATAACTTTTTTTATTATCTTTGTGTTCTCCATACACATGTAAAATAACAGATGAACTGATTGAGTGTACCAGTTATGTGTGTGTGCGCTGGATTCTTCATGTCAAGTGGTGACAGTTGGTCCTTGTTACATGAGTATTGTCATCAGGGTTTTGAATCAACTCACTACACATCAAAACAGAAAGACTTCTGTAACCCTGATGGAGATATTGTGTTAAATTTTAAAACAATTAGGAACAAACCTCGTCGTATCTTGCAGAAACAGATTGCCCTCACAAAGAAAAAGTGCTCTGAACAATGTTTAGCTTGGCCTTCCAGGCATTGTTAGTCTCAGATTCCCCAGCTTCTGCAATCCCGACAATGTGAATTTGATTGGCCCTCCTTAAACGAGTGCATGTCTGGTACATGGGAATAGACTGACATTAGACATTCAGCAACATGTGTATCAACAAGGACACTGCTGGCTAATCACTCATGTTCTCAGACTCGTCTTCAATGTGCCATATGGTTCATAGCGCTTTGTGATGGTGATTATTAGCAGCCAGTGGGTTGGTGGTGGTGGTGGTGGTTTCTTTTTGGTTGTTTTGGTTTTCTTTGTCTCTGGGCTGACCCGTGTACACTCCATGGAGTAGTCTCTTCCCTCATACAGTGAATCCTCACTGCCCTCACAATGTTTGGCTTTGGATGTTTATTTTATAATGGGTTGAATCTAATCAGGGTGTTTGTGACCTGTTGCATGGTTTTATTTGAATTAAACGCTATTACTTTTTGCACGTGTTTGTGTCATGAGTCTCTAAAACCAATTTCAGTACACTGTATTCTAAGACTAAGTATTAGGGCCACATTGAGGAAAAAAAAGTTATGAAAAAATCATAATTTTTCAAGAAAAAAAACTTGAATAAAGCTGTAATTTTGAGAGTACAATATTTCAAGAAAAAAGTCGTATTAGAATAAAGTTGTAATTTTGAGAATAAAGTCATACCTGAAGAAAAAAGGTCATAATATGAGATTAAAATTGTAATTTTACAAGAAAAAAAGTCATGATTTTATGAAAATATATTCTTAATATGACGTGAATTAAAAATACAATTTTTAGGAATATTACAACAACCAATAAAATGGGATAAAGGACAGTCAGTGGCCCCTTGAGCTGTTTCTAACACTGCTGTTTGCATGTCTGACAATGTAAAAGACTCAGTTTCTGCACAATCTTTTCAGTGCCCTGATGCTGCTGCTGATGATGCTGATGACCCAAAAGATGATGTAGCTCCTTATTTGTGAAACCTCTGTTATAGGAGAACTTCACAGGATACTCCACGTTCCTCATTTTAAAGCTTCTGATATTCCCCTCTAAAACAACACAGAACCTAAAATTACCACTTTATTCTCATAATGAGTTTTTTCATGTAAAATTACGACTTTATTCTTGTAATTAATTACTTTCAATGATTTATCATTTATGTCATTTATAAAGTAAAAAAGGCAAACATTTGAATACCTTGTTTTTTACTGACTATTGGTCAGACAAAAGCAGATGTTTAATTCCATCAAAAATGTATATTCTTCATGTTCCCTTTGGGCTTGAAAAGTGGCAGGTAACAGCTGGGACTTGATTCCACTGGTGTTCCACCCACTGTACACTACATGCCTTTAATTTCATTTTCCATTTGCATTTATATACAATAAATAGACAAGACCTCAATCACTCTAATTGTATCTGCTGTGATGAACGAGCTCTCCATCAGCCCAACTGTATCACAGAGTGAAAGAGAAGACGACATGGTGTCTCACTCATTCAGCAGAATTGTATGTGAACAGCTGCCTTGGGTCCATCTACTAACAAATAGATTAAAAAAAGCTGAGCCACTGGTGTCTCCTTCCTGTCACCTGGTTTTATCTAAATCACATTACAATTTATTTATGATCAGATATACTCAGTGAGGAATGTGTGTGAAAATTGTCATTCCTGTCTTCATCATCACATGATTATTTGTAACCATAAAATACAGAACAAGTGATTACCCTGACCTTTTATAGAAAGGAGTTGAAAAAATATGTCACGCGCCGACAACATATTGTATGTCTCAACTTGTTCCACTTGGTCTGGTCTTGGCAGACAGGACTGGAACCTGATTTGGTCGTCTGCTCTTGAAGAGTGGTTATCTGAGTTACCGCAACCTTGATAAGGAAAGGAGCTTCATTGTTTCCTATCTTATCTCCTTTAGCATAGTGAACACTGGACCTTAAATACGAAAAGAAAAGGAGAAATGCCGTCCCACAATTCTTTGCCACAGCAATATTTAAAGAGATGCGCCATTTAGTAGTTTCACCACAGCAGAACCACCAGTATCTTGCTCCTTTAGAATAACAACCTGTTTACACATGCAGGAGGCTATACATACATTTGGATCTTCTTCCTACACAATCATTTATTTTCCCCTCGAGATAACAACCTCTTTGCACATACAGCATACATATACAGTTTATGGATCTTGTTCCATTATCTATACTGTCCCTGCTCATCCTCTCCAGGGTTGTAGGGGGCTGGAGGACACACCAGAGGCAGGGTACACCATCAGCATCACTGGCCCAAAAGATCATGTTCCCACTGGATAAAAACTACAGTAATATCTTGATTCCACAAGTTAGCATTACATTAAAAACAACATATTGTAGGACTTTGGTGGCACCGTAAAAATGACTGGGCATGTATCTCATGTTTCTGGACCAGTGTTATGTGTTGACTGAGTTTTAATGCCTCTGTGCCGACATGTTTTTGCGTTGTCTGTCCCATTCGTGTGGACATGATATCTTAGTAATGCCTTGAGGGAACTTCTTCAAATTTGGTACAAATGTCCACTGGGAATCCACTCAAGGATGAACTGATTAAATTTGGTGGTCAAAGGTCAAAGGTCAAGGCCACAGTGATGAAACACAAAGCACTTTTTAGCCATAACTCATTAAGTCAAAATTTCACACATACAACTGCGAGGCAGTTCTATTTTCTCCTTATTTCTCTGGATGGTTGAGGCAAGTTTTCAGCGTTCAACAGCTCAATTATGAATTAGAGGGAAGCTCATACTGAAATGGTAGTGACCAGTTTTCCCACCAGATCACAGTGCAACTGGAGCTCATTTTTTCCTCTGCCTTCTACAAGATCACATCTGTTCTGCAGAGGCTTTCAGGCTAATTTATGGAGTCATCTCAGTGAAGCAGAAGTTAAATGACACTATATAAGAGGATCTGAGAGACGGTTTATTTCCTTTTAGGCTGTGATCTTTACACTTTAAACTTAGTTTTTTGCTGTTTTTAATGATTGGACAAAAAAGTGCTCTCAGATCAGATCAGATGAATCCAAGGGCATAGGTTTACAAGTGGACAATATTTCGGGAGGACAGAATTGTCCCTACCAATATTTGAGTGAACTTGTTCGCACTATGTTTGGAGTGGAGCCATATATAAATATAGTCATATATAGTATCGTTTTTTTTTTTTTAACTGATAATTTATCAAATTAATTAATTTTAAAATGGGTTACTTTGGCTCTGATGCAGCTGTCTGTCTCTGGTCTGTAGTTGCCATTCTGTCAGTCACTGAAATAGTAATAAGCATCACAATCCTCCACACTGAGGTTACAACAACACCACACTGTGATGAACACGTTCATCTGTTGGTCCAAGACACAGAGAGAAAGAAGAGAGAGAGAGAGAGAGAGAGAGAGAAGAGAGAGAGAGAAAGAGAGAGAGAAAGAGAGAGCGAGAGAGAGAGAGAGAGAGAAGAGAAAGAGAGAGAGAGAGAGAGAGGAGAGAGAGAGAGAGAGACTAGCTACGCTAACTGCTAAGCTAAAGTACTGAAAGGAGCAGAGAGCTCTGGGTGCTGGAGCAGAACTAGTGTAAGTTTAAATGTACAGCAGGTAGTAGACTCTGTGATGAAGAAAACAGAAAACATTAACTGTGTTCGACAGAGCAGCAATAAACCCAGCAGTACAGAAACTGACTGGAGAGGATGTTCAGCTCGTCACCATGTGAACGGTCACTAACTACTGTTTACTGAAAAGACATTTTACTACAGTGGAAGTAAAATGACTGTGAGCAAGTGAATAAGTCAGTTAAAATGTCTCTGAGTAAACATTTCAAAAGGGGGAAGCGGGGGATAAAACATGTTCTATGGTGATAATTATTAATAAAATGATGAAACTAAAATTAAATTAAAGAAACAGGTTGCCAGGTGAATCAGTTCACAGGTGAGAACTGCACTGAAATCACAACCAATTATTGCCGTCAGGCACTTTGCAGTCTGTGCATTATAAAGTGATAGTTACTAATATACACTCCGTTTGTCAGTTTATTAGGAACATCCAGCTAAAACTGAGTAGTCCTAAACAACAGTTAAATCCTCCTTCATGAAGATTATAATGTTCACTTTGTAATCAAATAGTTTAGGCAGTTGTTGATTTATCTGTATGATCATTATGGAGGAATTATTTTCTATGCTGGACAGCAGCAGATGAGATGACAGATGAGGAAACAGATGCGTCTTCAGGTTTAGGTGAAGTTTTAAAAGGATAGTGTGATTAAATATACAACTATTATGGATTAATTGTAAATTACTGACTTATATTTAATGTAACCATGGTCC